GTGTATCTATACATATGTATATATATATATATATAGATGGGCTGTTTGGTATGTCTTACGTTACTACGACACACTAGCGCATGCTGGCACACACCAGTACCATCCATGTAATGATGGCAAAGTTGGAAACCCGAAAGTTCTTTGAACATATCATCTGTCCCGGGAAAGACCCTTCTTTTTTTGTCGGGAACTTGTGACACGCTGAAATCACTGGTCCTGACCATTTACTTGTTTACAGGATCATCCTGGCAAAAGATTGCAGGTTTTAGATTTTATTGCAATATAAAGTATATAATAATTGTTTACATATAAATGTATCCACATACATATTTGCGGCGCAGGGTCCCCAAATCAAACACTTGTAAGACCAATCACTACCAGAAGAGTAGGTATCAACTTTTCTAAAGCTTAAATAGGTGCCCATTATCATCCGTGTTTTGGAGGATACCCAACTTTTGACCCATGCCCATTTTAGGGAAACAACTTTGACAAAACGCAACGCATCTTCCAGGCAGTGGCAGTCACAAACACGCTGTCCGTTTAAGAGAGGTTCAAAATAGAAACTAGGCAGTGGTGTACTGCAACCCCGGGAGGAAAAAACATGGAAAAGTAAATGATCACTATATATTTTCGTAGCATCTTACTTTTTTACAAAAACCATTCAAACCGATTGGTTTGGGATGGTTTGGGGAACCGGCTCATGCTGGAGAGCCTGGCTCCAAACTGCTACCGGCTCAACTGGATCCAAGGATAATTTTCCCCATTTAAACTTGCCATAAATCAAGGCAGCCCTGTTTTGAGACAAGTTGATGGTTGATATCTCCATATATCCCAATTTGTTTGGCTAATATCCAAGTTCATGTTCATAATTGGTCATATGTATTACGTATAGATATAGCTATTGTCACTATCCCAATTGTTGCTTGCTGAAATTCCCCGGCCTTTGTCATATGGCACCACCAAATCCAATGCTTTATCATCATTTTCCCTATTAAAATACAATTTTTTAGACCCTCGGCCTCGCTCGTCTGAACATTGGAATAGGAATAAGATTCGGACACGGCCTCAGGGTCGACATGGGAAACTGAAGCAACTACCATGGGAAGATCTACATCACGCTTTGTCCTTACGAAAAAGGGATCTAACACATACAGGAATTGTGACATAACAATCAAATTAAATAAGGATTATATATATATAACCAGAATTATGGATAGGATAGGGCATGTCCAATATGGATTACACAAAATGCAACGTTGAATGGGATAACATATATAATTAATGATATCATCCCCCAGTGGGTTTGGGGTACACGCCATTTTTGGACAAACTCACAAGTGACCCCAAACAATCATCAAACAAGCGGATGGAAATTAAACGTGGCCTGATATGAAATGAATTCCACAAGTGCAAAAAACAACAAGAAGTTGGTCTCTAGAGAACAACACACACACATCCTGAAAAAAAACTACTGCTGATCGATACAATGATCTTCTGAGAGCGACCCGTGCTCACGTCCAAGCCTCAGAAAAGTCACCTCCACCTGTGAAATCTTAAGATTGGAATCCCAGCATGCCCTGATTTTGCCTCAGGTTTCCCGCGAGAACAAAATAAAACCTTTCGAAATCATGTTCCGTTATGATCCCTCTGTCAAGCAATGTCAAATTCATATTTTGTACCCAAAATCGGGGTACCTTTAGGCACTGCCAAGGTGCGTTTTGGCGCTCTTCAGCCCTTGGGATGGGGCCAGTCATCCCAAATGACAAATGGGAAGTTGCGAAAAACTGGGAAAACAACACATGTTTCGGGAATTGGTATCATTTTGGAGCATTTGAACTTGATTGTGACTAGCTGCTTCGGATTGGTGTATACTGTATACTTAACTCCAGTCACCTTTCAGGCTGTTGGTTTCCAACTTATGCGAGCTTGAACCCACGATAGTAATAGATCTGAGTGCCTATTGAACAATATAACTTGACCATCCTTGACACACCACTGTATAGAAAAAATGGTACTTGATACATACATATATATATATATATATATATATCAAAACTTACCAAACAATTTGATGAGGTCCCATTGTCTGAGTAACCCGAGACCGTGATCAGTTGGAAACCAGCTGTCCAAGACATCGCAATAGGGATGGAAGATGAAAGCTTTGGAACCAGTCAGCAATCAAGTGGGATGGTTTTGATCCTTTGAGCCTTCAACACATTTGTGAAGCCGGTGAAACCCAGCCACGATGAACTGCTACCCATCACGCCATGGAAGTTGCCTGAACTGAGTCACACGCTGATTTGTCACAACCATGATTTGTTGGTCCCAATTTATTCCATTTCAGGGGGTCTGAAAAATTTCAAGGGTTCCAAGACGTCATAAAATTGGTAATATAAACTTGGGCAATTGACGTTCCCTTCAACACAGGAATAATTTTGGCCTAGTCGTTGGGATCTGGCGCTGTTTTGCCAAGACTAGCCGTGCAAACATCAATGCAGTAAAGCTACCGACGTCCAATTTCAGAGCATGTCAAATTCTAAATAAATATATATATATATATATAATATAATTATAATTATCATTTCTTTCAATCTACTTGACTACTTGGACTGTTCGTAGCTTACAAAGAATACAGTCATTTCAACTGGTTCCAATGCTATATGTGAACAGAGACCATCTGCCCAAAGTAGAGATAAGAGGGAACAAACGGTTTGAAGTCACTAATCAGTAATCGTTCATATTCGTTTCTTTCCTGCTTGTGCAAATACCTCCCGAATTTTGTCGGTCAACTCCTCAGTGATCTAGGCAACTTACTGCAATTCACAAACCTGAAACAATGAAACCAATTTTCGGGGCGTTCCCTTCTAAGCATCATTCATGGTGGGGTCGTGAGGGGGTTGCGGAGGTAGCTTTAATTTGCAAAGAAAACAAATTCAGAACGCCCTTTTGCTGAAAGACCTTCCCTCACACCGCCCAAGTGCCTGCTCCCCCTTTGCCCTATGAGATTGTTTTGGGCTAAAATGCCAACGACATTTCAGATGTGGCAGCAGCAGCAGGGGGTAGCCGGAGTTCGGCAGTGCTGAGTCGAGACCCAAGTGCATTTCCATGCATTTTCACATGAACTGATTCAAGGGACCATTTACTTCAACCGAATCACCAAAATCATAGCTTCCTTATGTTTCCCTCAGGTCAATTCCGAGAATCCTGAAACTTGATTTTCTTAGCATCAGCGGCTAATGACGAACCATGCCACTATAGCACACATAGGCCCGCATATGAAAGACAGTAAATCAATTGCTAACAGCAACTGGCTTGCATGTGCATACCACATGGGGCATATGCTTATGACTATGGTGTTTGCTGAGCAGTACATTCAAACAATAAACCAAACTTATACACACATCTGTTACATGCATATAGATATGTATACATATATATATATATATATACATATATATATATATATACATATATATATATATACACAGTCACAGCTTATTCACTGGGATGCAATTTCAATTGCATTACAAAATCACCTTTGTCTGCAAACGTAAGGTCATTCACCTTCCTGATCAAACATTACTCAGGGTTGGTGGTTTCAATCTGGATCATTCCCCAAATAGCACTTGACATGTCCCAGCATCACATGCACTCTGTGCAAACAAAAAATGGTCTGGATCATCCTGGATCCTCTATACACATCCACTGTCGATGAATCAAGTCGGCAATGATGTAAAGGAATAGCACAAATATCATTTTGAAACAATGGAAATAAGTGTGGAATATCCCCATCAGTGATGGATGGGTCAAAACCAATGAACAGGGTTTCACAACCATGGCCGTACCGTGGGCCAGACCATGGCCGTCCCACCAACCGGCGGAAAGGTTGACGGTTGTGCGGCTGGCCTCCTGGACACACACTAGACAAAATTGGATCTTTTAAGTGATCCATGAGGAACTGAGTCCTTTAACGTGCAACAAACCTAGACAATTAGACCTAAAGTTAGGACCTAAAGTAGATCTCGTGGTTGTACTTCGCGGGTGTAATGAAGGTCATCCGAAAATATCCAACGTAGCCCAAACCAGACACCAAAAACGGCAAATAAATCGTCATCCAAAATCAGATTGTGGCGACCGTGTAAAATCATGTAAAATAGGTTGTTTGGAAACGGCGTGGTGGTTCTTGGGTTAGCCACGTCCCATTGCAGAAATTGACAAAACTGAGGTTGAAATGGCAGGTACGCTGGGTTCATCAGACCCAGTATCCCATGATTGTGGTAGCTTCGTTGAGTGCGGTCCCACAATCATGCCGCACTCCCCTGCTTTATTAAAAGGAGAGAAGAAAGAAAAAAAAAAGGAAAAGTTTTGCATCTATTTAGATGTTACACATACACACATCCGGCCGGAGCCGGGTCAACCCTGAAAGGCAAGAGGAAGGAAAAAGCGGACACAGACAACGGGCAAAAGGCCAGAACAGCGCAGGGGGGGAAGGGGACGAACGGACCTCCAGAACCAACCTACGCGGCGAAACGGACCTGACAAAAACAGAGCACACACCTAAACCCCACGACACATTACGGAGAAGCACAGGGGAAGAATTAGGGACCGAATGGGGACTAGTTGGTGACGGGCGTGAAACAACCCAAAAAAATAATCTAAAAAGGGCCCAGTTCCAACTACAACAGGTGTCGTGCGTTACTCCCCTTCGGGACCGTAGTCAAGTCGTGCCGCAATGGCATAAACAGCTGTTCAAGTTCCAACGAATTAAATGCACGAAATGTTTAGCCTCACCAGAAACCATCAAAAAGGACAAATTACCACACCTGAAGGTCATGTGCCTGCCTGGCATTCATGTCATGCTGTACTTTAAAAGCTGGAGCTGCAGCCGTAAGAATAAAGTTTCTGACTGTTCAGATCGACATCCAGCAGAGAGATGATCAATCCAAGGGTTCGCAAAGGACAGCAGGAATGGCGGGACAATTCAAAAGGCTGGTAAACGG